GTTAGATGATAACAGATTACTGTCAGTGTCTAGGTATCCAGCTTCACTGTGTTAGATGATAACAGATTACTGTCAGTATCTGGGTATCCAGCTTCACTGTGTTAGATGATAACAGATTACTGTCAGCATCTGGGTATCTGGCTTCACCGTATCAGATGATAACAGATTATTGTCAGTGTTTGGGTATCCAGCTTCACCATGTTAGATGATAACAGATTACTGTCAGTGTCTGGGTATCCAGCTTCACTATGTTAGATGATAAATGCCAATAGTAAACTTCCTGGAAATAGTGTAGAAGTCTAGCAGTGCACCATAAGTTATATGCAGCTGCACAATATGCTGTGAGGCTATTCTCACCTGCCCATCTTTATCCTGCAGTTTATTTGATTGGAATGAAAATACAGCATTTTCTTTACAAATCTTTCTATATTTTCTTCTTCTTCCTTATCCATTTGATATTGGTCGTCATTCGCCATTCTGAAATTATTTCACTCCCAATGTTAAAATGCTGCTTTTACTCCATCTGTAGGTAATCTGACACTTCAGTTCTGAAACCCATACAACCCTGTCACTGAAACCCATACAACCCTGTCACTGAAACCCATACTACCGTGTCACTGAAACCCATACTACCGTGTCACTGAAACCCATACTACCCTGTCACTGAAACCCATACTACCCTGTCACTGAAATCCATACTATGCTGTCACTGAAACCCATACTACCGTGTCACTGAAATCCATGCTACCGTGTCACTGAAACCCATACTACCGTGTCACTGAAACCCATACTACCCTGTCACTGAAACCCATATTTACAAACCATTCCTTAAGTTTTTCTGTGTGAATAATCAGATAGTTTACAATATACTGACATACAAACATCTTATAAATATGAATATTTTATTTCACAGTTGTATATTACAAGAAGCAGTGCTAACTGACGTTACTGAAGCATTAATACTTAGATATTTTAAATTTCCTTTTATACCCTGAGCTTACGTTTTGTAGACTACACAATCCAAGCAGTACTGAATTTCTGGTTTACATAGTATTTATGCATGTGGAACACAGATTTAAAGTCTATATTGTGCTTTCTATTTTGAAATAACTTTAAGAAAGCATCATTAAACCAAAACAAAAGTAATAATATTCTACTTTAGGCTTACTAAATGGTTATTCAGTGAAAGAAATTATCATAATAAAAGGAGATATGTTATTAGTTTGACTGATGCTTTTAGTTATCATTTCACCAAACCTTTTCCACTTAATAATTGGGTGCCTTTAGTACTAGTCTAAATGTTTATGTGAAATAAGCCTACTTCAGGGTTTTCACAATCCGGAACCCCAATATTTCGTGTACAGTTTGCCTACTGACTTACTACTTTGTACGTACAGTGTACTTTTGTATGAGTTAGTCATCAATGTTCCGTGTACCATTAAAAAACAGAGAAAATGATTTGAATAATATATGTGGCTCTTCCCTAATTTATGGACATGAAACCTTTATCTGTGGAAGAAAAGTTCTTCTATTATATGAGATGTAGTTAAAGCTTATCTATCTCATTTGCTCCACTGTCTGATTTTGTTCATATTAGTTTAGAAAACTAAAGTTATCAAAACAATTACAACAATAATTAGATAGGTTTCATGGGTGAAACCTATTTTAAATTTAGATCCCATTTTATTCAAGAAAAAGTAAACACAGTGAATGAAGTATTATTTATCACATTTGTATATTTAAAGACCTACAAATATTTTTATAACTTCAGGTAAAATGGCGACAAGTTTGTCCAGACTTCTTGCTACGTACTTTGAAGGTGAGGAATGGAAATGAAGAAAGACCAATTTGTCAGTTTCACTATGCAAGTTGGCCAGATCATGGTGTTCCTACCTCCGTCCAACCTATTTTAGAGCTAGTGAGGCTCGTTCGAGACTGTCAAGCATCAGAAGCGGTGCCGGTTCTGGTTCACTGCAGGTAAATCTTGAAATTAAAAGTACAACATTTCTGTCAAAATTTACAAAATACTACTGCCATCTCTAGTATTTACAGAATATAAACTATAGTCTATGTAATAAACAAACTTTAATTTTTTATTCTATATTCCAGTGATTATAAGTAGATGCAATAAATGATCTGTTTCATTGGTCATTTGTGTTTTGTTGGATGAATATAGCTTACAAGAGAGCTAAAATGAAAAGTAAAAAGTTCTGAATAAGAGATTAATTGATAACACAGGCCTGTGTATGTAAACTTCATAAAAGTTGTTTTGGTTTTAATAATGGATTTTCCATAATTCAGATACACTAATTATTAAAATAATATTCATTTTTTTCTTATCACGTAAGGATTTTTTAAAAATTGGGAAGAAAAAACTAACTTAGATCAAATTATTACTCCGTTTACTACAGTGAACATTTTTTATTATTATGTTTGTTAGCAAAAATACAAACAAACTGAAGAAAAGGTAAGAACATTGATGTCTAATGAATATGCATCTTCATTCATCCTGATTTTTTTTGTGAAATCTATGTCTTTTAGTCTCAAAAATATGTGTTG